CACTGCTGCTGGGGAGGCACAAGGGGGCCATTGTGGCTGACACCAGGGCGGGACCTGCTTATCTTTCCCCAGCGGTCAGGCTGGGTGGACGGTGGTGGGAGACGCATTCCTAGAGCCTTTCTCCTCCTCCACGCGCCTCTCCCGGGAGCTGTCTGGGTTAGACCCCCTCGCTGCCAGGTGCCCTGGAGGTTGAGTGCTGCCCACCCAGGGCCCAGACACGGGTCAGAAGTGAGTGTTCCACAGCGCTCTTAGGTTGGCCAGGTCCCCCAGGCTCAGAGCAGTGCAGTGTCCCAGTCCTGTGGCTCCCGAGCAGCAGCTGTGGCATGCAGGGTCATGAGCCCTGTCCTTGAGTACCGCTGGGGACGGTGCTGGAGCCTCCAGGTCTGTTCCTGAAGGACCTGAGAGGTTGCCAGAAGCCACCGCCGCCCTGCTACCTGACCCGGAGCTCCTGGCTGGGGTGGCCAGGGTGGGGACCCTACACCCTAGAGGCTGAGAGCAGCTTCTGGCAGGACGGGTTCCAGCCAGGGGCCACCTGAGCTTTGTAGAAGGCACCTGCCCACAGTCACTGCACCTGGTGGAGAGAGCGAGCCCCTGGGTCCCCACAGATAAGGACACTTCCCTTTGTCCTCTCTGCCTTCAGTCCTTCTCCCAAGCCCACTTCCACCGCAGCTGCAGGAGTCTCAGGGCCCTATCGTCTGAGCTGAGCTCCTCCTCAGACCTGCGCTCGGGGCCACCCCTGCCAGCAGCGGGTGGGATCCTCAAAGTGAATCACCAAGAAGAAGCCAGCCACTGCTCAGCCTCGGGCTGCCAAAGCAAAACTTAGAGGGACCCCCCAGGCCAGCCCCGCCTTAGAGGGGTCCAGGGAGCTGGTCTGACGGGGCGTTCTGGCGGACTTGGGTCATTCTAGAACGGGGTTGGCCTGCCCAGGGCCTCCAGGCACCCTCTGGATTCATGCCAGACTCAGAGTCAGACCTCCACAGCGGGTGACCCAGGCCCTGGAGACAGGAGTGCCAGGCCATGTGGCATCCTCATGGGGCCTCTGTGGCCACTTCAAGCTCTGGTCGAGGAAGCTACTGCCCAGGGAGGCCGCTCTCCCGCTGGCGCTCCTCGAGAGCTCTGAAGTGCGTCCTTGCATCGCAGGAATGACGGATGTGGAAGTCACATGTGCCACTCGTGCCATCAGGGTGGGATCAGAGGGCAGGAAGACGGGCTTCCAGTGCCCCGGGCCAGTCAGCAGAGGATGGAGGCTGGGGAGCCGAGCAGGACGAGGGGCGGTCACTGGCAGGGGCCCTCTACTGTCCTTAGCTTGGATTGGGAAGGCCTTCCTACTCAGGGTGGCTGAACAGAGCTGCTCTCCAGGCAAAGGGTCTGGTTCCACCTGCATGTGGTGCTGGGAGTCAAAGCCGGGGCCGCGGAGGCCAAGTCTAGGATGCCCGCTCCTAGACTTCCAGAAGCCAATGCCACTCACCGTGGTGGACAGATGCCATCTGGTCCCAGCCGTAATCCCCAGAACCAGGTTTCTTCCGTGTCCACATTCCCAGACTTAAGGCGAAGGCAGAGCGATATGGGCCTGCACTCAGGCCAGGGGTCAGTCAAGGGAGCCCTGGGGTGGCCGGCACTGCGCCTTCTCCTGAGCCCGCTGAGCCAGCAGCCACACAGAGCAATGGAGGCCCTGAGTCTGAGGCCCTACCAGTGTCCACCCAGCACCAGCCAAGGGCCAGCCCATCTTCCAGAGAGGGAATTGCCCAGAACTAGGGTGGCATGTCCGAGACACAGTGGGGCACCTTGGCCTGTTGGCGCGTAGGATCCCCCAGCACTGGGTGGCTGCGACAGCCGATGTTCATCTTAAGGCAAAAGGGCTGCCTCTATGGACTTCAGGTGCCCATCCGTAGTCCTGGAGGTCTCAAGTCCAAAGTCGAGGTGTTGTCAGGACCGCCCTTCCCAAGTCTCCAGGGGAGGACATAGAAGAAAAGAAAAAAAAATCCTTGGGGAGGGTTAGGTTAGGGTTCCAGCTTGGGGACTCCAGGCGTCCCTGAGCCCGGGGCTGCTTCGCCCCAGGTCTGCCTCCGGCTCTGCCAGACGTGGTGGGGACACCTGTCTAATTCCTGAGGGTCCCACCGCAGCCCTCACTGGCCCGCTCAGGCCATCTCTTCAGATAGGGCTCCCCCTGCCCTCAGGCGGCGAGCCTCGCGCTTCAGCGCCTTCCTGTGTCTGACCGCTGCGCTGGAGCCCAGAGGCAGAGTGAGGGACGGGATGGCAGCTGTCCCCAGTGGAATCGGAGGTCCCCTCCTCCTTCGGTGGGTCACAGCCCTGGACACACACCGAGTGCTGAGGTTGGCCTCTGTGGGCTCTGGCGGCAGAGGGGTCCTGACTGTTCCTGGCTCTGGGGCAAGGCCACCCCTCCTCCCCACTGGCCCTGCCCCCCTGGGCTGGTGATCCCCCGACCTGTGAGCAGGAGAGCTCTGGAGGG